TCAAAAAAAAAAAAAAAGAAAGAAAGAAACAAACAAACAAAATATCTGAACTATATTTCAAATAAGTAACCTACACAGAAAGGGGGAAATAATCCAGGTAACTGTGACTGTTTAGAATCAAGCTTGCCTTCAGGCTCAAGACAAAAAGAACTTGAAACATGTTGAATTCTAATTAGTAGGCACAGACATGAGTTGGTAATTCTGGAACAACATTCTGTACGTTCTAGGATTGAGCAAATAAAATGTTTTGTGGGCTGGATGAGGTGGCTCATGCCTGTAATCCCAGCACGATGGGAGGCTGAGGCAGGTCTATCACTTGAGGTCAGGAATTTGAGACCAGCTTGGCCAACATGATGATACGTCGCCTCTACTAAAAAATATAAAAATTGCCGGGCGCAGTGGCTCAAGCCTGTAATCCCAGCACTTTGGGAGGCCGAGGCGGGTGGATCACAAGGTCGAGAGATCGAGACCATCCTGGTCAACATGGTGAAACCCCGTCTCTACTAAAAGTGCAAAAAATTAGCTGGGCATGGTGGCACGTGCCTGTAATCCCAGCTATTCAGGAGGCTGAGGCAGGAGAATTGCCTGAACCCAGGAGGCGGAGGTTGCGGTGAGCCGAGATCGCGCCATTGCACTCCAGCCTGGGTAACAAGGGCGAAACTCCGTCTCAAAAAAAAATAAATAAATAAAAAATAAAAAAATAAAAATAAAAAAATAAAATAAAAATTAGCCAGGCATTATGGCAGGTGCCTGTAATCCCAGCTACTTGGGAGGCTGAGGCAGGAGAATCGCTTGAATCTGGGAGGCAGAAGTCGCAGTGAGCCAACATCATGCCACTGTACTCCACCCTGGGTGACAGAGTGAGATTTCATCTCAAAAAATAATAATTAAAAAAATAATAATTAAAAAAAATATTGTGGCTAATGGGAATCAGGTTTCTCACTGTTCAAAAAGGGAGTAAAGGAGAAAAGGTGAAAAGTACCTGGGAATTCTTTGCACTATTTTGCAACATTTTTCTAAGTCTGAAATTATATTTAAAAATGATTGGACTATATCAGTGCTTCTTAAACTCCCTTATGTTAAAAATCACCTACAGCTTTAGCTAAAAATTCGAAACTACGGGACCCCCTCCCCCACTGTGGGTAGTCTGTGTCGGTACGTTTGGGCCTGAGAATCTGCATTATACATCATTGAACACATTTTAAAGGGGCTGAATTCAGTGCTCTTTGAGGGCCTTTCCTTCTGTGTTCTGGAGGAGGCAAAAGTTCAGCCTGTTTTAGAAATCTGTGGCTGAGCATGAAGAGAATGGGCATGACAACTGTTTGTCTGAAATGCATCTTTTACAAGTTGACACATTCCATACAAGAACCAAGGAGACATAGGAAAGCTCTAGAGGCAATTTCTCCGGGGGTGGGGGGGCGGAAATCAGGAAAATCTCAGAATTCTTCAAAAGTCAAGTCATCCAGGTATCTTCCAGAGTTAACATCCTTCCAGTAGAACAAGTACCTGCCGGCCTTGGGACCGCTCTACTTAGCTTGACCTGCAGTGCCTTCCCCTGACAAGCCGACAAGGCTGGTTCCTTTTTGCCCGTTAAGTCTTCCTCAAATGTCAGCTTGTCAGAGCGGCCATCAATTCACATGCCCTGTGAGGCTTAGTTTCTTTACAGCACTTAATATCTGGATTCCTCTATATATCTTGCCTGCCTGCCCAACCAGCACACTAGCTCCATGAGGGAGGGACATTGTAGGTTTTGTTCACTTGTGTATCCCCAGTTCCTAGGCTAGTGGCCATTCTATACATATGAAGCACTAACTATTCATTGAATGATTTACTGATACGCACGTGTATGGGGATCGGTTTCTCTTGATGAATGAACACGTTTGCAGTGTGGTAGATAACACATCACCAAATCAAGTGGCAAACAGGATGACTTTATGATAATAAATACATTTTATTTATTTTTTTTCTCTCACACAGTTCAAGAAAGCCAGACATTAGCATAAGTTAAAGAACATCGGAGTTTGGAAATAGGTCTTTGCCTTAACGGATTATTGACTAGAAAATCAGAGGCCGGCATTCAAATAACATGTTTTGAAGTGTTGTTGTACAGTGTTAATAGGTGTTTCAAAAGGGTATCATGGACTGGGCACAGTATGGCTCATGCCTGTAATCCCACCACTTTGGGAGGCTGAGGCAGACAAATCACTGAGTCCAGGAGTTTGAAACCAAACTGGGCAACATGGCAAAACCCCATCTCTATAAGAAATACAAAAAATTAGCCAGGCTTGGCAGCATGCACCTGCAGTCCCAGCTACTCAGGAAGCTGAGATGGGAAGATCACTGAAGCCTGGCAGGCTGAGGTTGCAGTGAGCTGAGATTGCAACACTAACACGTCAGCCTGGGCAACAGAATAGGACACTGTCTCAAAAAAATTTTTTTTAATTAAAAAAAATTTTAAAGGGTACCATAAGGTACAAAATAGGTCAAACGAGGGTTTCTTGAACATATCTGACAATGCCATTCTACTCCACCCCACCTTCCTCAGAACCTCTTAGGTGAGCAAGGTTCCACTGGTGGGGGGTGGGAGGGAGAAAAAAACAGAAAGACTTCAGCAGATCAAATATTTAAATCACTTTATACTCGGAAAGCCTCCAAATTTCCCACAACATCCTACCAACAATTACAAATTCATTTCTTTTTTTTCAATTTGAGGCAGGGTCTCGCTCTGTCGCTCAGTCTAGAGTGCAATGGCACAATCATAGCTCACTGCAGCATCCAAGTCCTGGGTTCAAAAGTCCTCCCACATCACCCTCCACAGTAGCTGGGACCACAGGTGTGTACCACCATAGCCAGCTAGTTTTTAGATTTTTTTTATAAAGGCAGTATCTGGCCCTATTGCCTGGGCTGGCCTTGCACCCCTGGGTTCAAGCAGTCCTCCCACTTCAGCCTCCCAAAGTGCTGGGATTACAAGCATGAGCCACTGCACCCAGCCACAGATTCATTCATTCTCTCTTTCTTTCTTTTAAGACTAGAGTCAAGTGTAGTAGTGAGAAGGAGGAAAGAGCAGAACAAGGAGCTTGATCTATGACTGACTGTGAACAGTCAATTCAGCTAACTTACTGCCTTCAGACCAGCCACAAATTCATTTCTTAAGAAAAAAGATGAGAATTATTTTCTAAAAACTGAGCAATGGAAAAGGAAACCCTTCAAAGAGTGAAGGGAGGTAAAGTTGACTGAATGGCTTCATTCATACACATTCAAGTTTTATCACAGTCGTAAGATCTGGTAAATTTTAGAGTGGTGCTTCTCAAGCAAGGGGATGGAGAGGTACATCCCATTAGGAATGTGTCACCCTCCTGACCATAGTCTTTTTTGAGACAATGCCATGGTGAGCAATTGTTAGCAATGGAAATGTCACATCTCTTAAGTGCAGTGAGACACTTTTTAAAAATTGAGACCAGCTCCAGTGAGGCCTTCAGCTGACTCCCTGCCAACATTTTAGGCTTTCTGAGATGGCTTGGATGGAACTATACTCACATTAGACATCTAATGCCTATTACTTAATACTTAATGATCATTAGTATATTTGAACCCATTCTCATTTTGCCCTGGAAGCTTCCAAATCAATGTGCTGCAAATTGTTGTAAAATTCTGATTTATAACACTGTCCCCAAAAGTATACAGGACTAATGTTTACCAAACTTACAAAAATATTACGAAACCCTTGATCTTATTTTGTTGATTTAACATTTCATTTTCATCATTAAGCATGCAAAAAAGCAACATAAGCAAAGATTAAATAACCCAAACATCCTTCAAATTGATCACTCGTTATTTCAATTCTTACTGAGCTAAACATTATTTTGTTATCTATAAAGGAGAGAATTTAAAACACTGCATTTTTTTGGCATTTCATAGAAACGGGGAATTTAAACTTTGAGCTGTTTTTGCCATAAAATTGAAGTTGCAGTAAGATGAACTGGAAGCCCACAGACCCTGCTGTTGTGGAATTCCACTAAAAATGGCAGGTTGTTGCCCAAAAAAAAAAAAAAACAAAACAAAAAAAACAAATTTTGTCTTGCAGCTTGCAATTAATGTGCCAAAAATCTACCAGCCCATATAATTTTATCACTCTGTCTTCCCCAGAGGAAGTAAACAAATAATAAAACTAATGAAATCCTATTTCTTGATCACTCTCATCCTATATAAATCATTACTTGTCCTTAGAGGATTAGACAGTGGGCTACTTACAAGGCCGTTCAAATGTCTGGGCTAGTTAATGGTAGAGGCAGTAGTCTAAGACATGGGGTATTCCTGAGTCAGCAAAGACGATCCCGCAATTTGAGGAAGACCCCCTAAGTCATTACCAAGTGCAGAACAGGGTTTGATGAGCCTCTCAAAAGTTGTCTTGCATCAGCATTTCTGTGTTCCCTGGAAACACCATGAAATACTGAACTTTAATCAGTAATGCAAAAAATGAGAAAATGCTCAGTGTTTTAGAACTATTCAGAGTAGAAAACTCTGGAATATAAAATGGGGCTTACGCCTTTGTTGGTGAGTTGCTAAAACTTGAGAGCGGGCAAAACAAGGCTAAGAGGTCCAGTATCTTCTGGAACGTGTAGCATTAGCAGTTCTTCAAGTTTCGCCTCTGGCCCTCCTGCATTAGGACCATCTGGGAGCCTTGCTCCAGTGCCACTCTCCTCTACAAAACCTACGTTTAACCTTGTGAAGCAGAACACGCTGGTTTTCCCCAGGAGTCCACATTTGTCACAAGATTATTCGATGTTTCTGGTTCCCAGTAAAGCTTGAGAACACTAAATGTGACCACCCCACTGGCAAGGTCATTAACATCCTATGCACATGGATACTAAATTTTACAGCATATTTGAAATGCTAAAGCAATATCAAATGTATGACATCCCCAAATAGAGCAATTTCCATTGATTGAAAAGGTGGCAGATGAGCACAACTAATTGGGATTAACTCAGCCAACTCTTACAGTTTAACACATTTTACCTGCACCAACACATTTTACTTTGCAGATCACACTGGTAACCAGAAAACAGAGCATAACAGAACACATGACATCCCACTGTGGACTTTTAAGGAAAAAAAAAAGTGACAAATTCCAAATCCATAATGACATGAGAACTAGCACCTTGAAGGCAGAATGGACTTGTGGGAAGAGAGGACTCTCCTTCTGTTCTCCCTTCACTAGGTGGAGAAGGAAAGAAGACCCCTCCCCAAACAGGTCTCTTCATTCTGGAATGTTTTCCCAGTCCCCAGGGCTCTCAGTGACCAACTTCCTTTCACAGATCCTCCCAATGACTGACCTAGCTCAATCTCCCAAAGTAGTTGGTTGACAGGCCACTACGAGAGCTCTTTAGAGAAGCTTTGCTACATGAAATTTATCAGATGAAGAACGATTCATTTTTAAAGAATAATACAAAGCTCTAGGGTAATATGCTTAATCCAATTGTTTAAATAGAATTAAAAACCCCATTTTCAGTAAAAAATTAATGAAATGTCAGTAGTTTGCTTTAACAAGGACTTGCTTGAACCGTGTTCTCCTTTTAAAATCACACACACAGAATCAATATACATTTAGAGAATGTTCTCTAGCTGAATGCCTTTTTGAAATGAATTCATTCAAAAGACACAAAAGACACCAACCATTATGAATATTTTAGGCCGTTATGAGCTGTAACCACCTCCGGCTTATGGTGGTTAAGGTGTTGCAGCTTAATGTTGACCTCCGGCATGAAAAGCGATGGTCTGAATCATGTTTCTTTTTTATGTAATTCTGGCTCAGGAGTCCGATACAGAGCAGCTGAGAAATAAATTACGTTGCTGAGGCTGAAGATGATGCACAGAAGTATGGCTCCAGCTATCTGAGAGAAAGAGAAGGGCTTGGAGGTGGCCAGGAGCCATTCCTTCCTCAGAGTCTTGTCCAGAAGTATGGCTTCCATCTGCAGGTGCGTGGCCAGGATCACACACACATGAAACAGCTGGTGACTGTGACCTATGGCAAACACAAAAGGCCGTCAATAACAGCAATTAAAAGGAATGAGTACTGATACATGCCATGGCATGTATGCAAAAATGATGCTAAGTGAAAGAAACCAGATAGGAGCCCACATATTATATGATTCCTTTTATATGAAATGTCCAGAATATGCAAATCTGTAAAGACAGAGGGTAGACTGATGGCTGCCTCAAGTAGGGGTGAGAATAGGGATTAACAGTGCATGGGTCTGATGGAGGGGACGAAAATGTTCTAAAACTGATGTATGGTGACTTTACTGAAAATATCATTAAATTGTATACTTGACATCAGGGAATTATTGAATATGTGAAATATACCTTAATAAACCTATTTTACACTTGATCTTAGCCAAAAGGCTGAGAAGTGATAATAAGTTTATTTTTATTTTTTATTTTTTTAAGACGGGGTTTCACCATGTTGGTCAGGCTGGTCTTGAACTCCCAACCTCAGGTGATCTGCCTGCCTTGGCCTCCAAAGTGCTTGAATTACAGGCACGAGCTACCATACCCGGCCAATAAGTTTATTTTTAAGAAGCAATATGAGAAAAATAGAAGGGCCACCAGAGAAACCAAATCCAAATTCTTTTTTAAAACAACTTATCTATTGGTCTCATTTTTCAGATGAAAAAATTAGGCACCACTTTCTGCCAAAGGTCATCTCTTGAGAGCCAGCAGTGGTCAGCTCAGAGTCCCACTTTAATGCTGAAGGAGAAGCTGGCTGAATTTTCTGTTGGCCACTAACCACGTGGAGCTCTCTTTACTGCTGGCGAATCACAGACATGACCAGGACCCTTCCTCCCTGGTGCCATGCTGGACCCAGCTTACATGGTGCTCATCACACAGGGTGGGAGCCAAGCAGAGGGTAGCGGGAATGGACAGGGACATGCTGGGTGGTCGGCGGTTAGTGAGAAAATAGGTCCAATGCCTAGGGTCAGGGGCAGTTTGGAGGACAACCCTCAGACCCCAGGAGTAAGGAGGAGACTACATGTGTTACGGGCTGAATGATGTCCCTGAAAAATACATGTGCTGAAGTCTTAATGCCCAGAATGAGACCATATTTGCAGATAGGATCTTTAGAAAAACAAGTAAAAATGAGGTCTCTAAGATGGGCCTAATGCACTATGACTGGTGTCCTTATAAGAAAAGGAGGTTAGGACACAGACATGCATGTACACAGAGAAAAAGACCACATGAAGAGAGATGGAAAGAACAGCCATCAACAAGCCAAAGAGAGAGAGGCCTCCGTTGAAATCGCCCCTGCCAACACTTCAATCTCAGATTTCCAGCCTCCAGAATTGTGAGAAAATAAATTTCAGGGGTTTAGACCCAGTCTGTGATACTTTGTTATGGCAGCCCTAGCAAACTAATGCAACATAAGAGTTAAATAAGGATTCTCCTTTGGTTTTAAAAAATAATAAAAAGCCTGGGCATGGTGGCTCACACCTGTAATCCCAGCACTTTGGGAGGCCAAGGAAGGAGGATTGCTTGAACCCAGGAGTTTGAGACCAGCCTGGCAACACAGGGAGATCCCATCTCTAGAAAAATAGAAACTTCGGTGTTGCACCCCCAGGACCTATCTCAGAAGAAATATTCAATAAATGTGTCCTAGGCCTGAAGCAGCCTGGCCACCTCCACTATTGAGCAGGAGCAGAGTCAGAATAAGAATGTAGAAGGGTCGAGGATTCTCAAGTGGGTAAGTTTCCTGCAGCAGGGAGCTGTGAGGCCCCCAGTATCTGTCTCCTAGGAAGAAGGTGTGCCTGGAGCTGCCACACCTGCCTTACTCAGGCTATACTAGTGGGCTGTGGATGATTTCCGAATCTGTATGTGATGCAGCAAAATGGTTTCTTCTCCAGCAGAGAGCTGTGCTCTCAGAACACAGGGCAAAGCCGGTAACTAGGCACCTTCTCCAGCTGAGGCTCAAGCCTGTCTCCACTGGGGCATGAGATAAAAGACAGAAAGAACCATCAGCATTGGATGTATCTGAAATGTGGCTGCAGCAGGAAGAGTGATTTCAACAATCCTGCCTAACAGGAATAGGGAGGAGCTTCCTGTGGGCCAAACCATGCCAGGCCAGCACTTCCCGGGAAATCTGGGACTCATGGCCAGTGAGGGATTCCCACCTCCAGCAAACCCTGTTAGATAAGGACAAATAATGTCCCAAATCTTAATGATCTGTCATGAACTATTGTCTAGGAAATGTCCCCAACAGGGTTGTTTTTCAGCTCTGTACCCTAGGCCCAAGAGGATACTTAAGAGATGAAGAAATAAAATGTTAAGAAACCTGAGTGGTAGCATGAGAAGGCCCAGGGCTCTTTTTCCTGCATCCCCCAAGACTCACTACCCAGCCACCTCTACTTCATCAAGGGGGGCTGGGGAGGTGGACATGGCAGTCAGGGTGCTGGTGACTCCTATTCCCTGGCCTCCCCTTTTCCTCTTTGGAAATCTGCCCTCTAAGCATTTTGCTAGTTAACACCGTTTCTGACACAACATAAGAAGGAAAGGGGCGAAAACTCTAATCAGATCAAATAGACCACATCTGGCCACATCTCTGAATGGAAGGAGATGGAAAATCAGGGACAAAAGCAAGCTTCCTGCCCCCATGGGGACAATGACTGGCCCTTTGATTCCCATGTACTCACCTAAGGAACTCTCACCCCAAAGCCTTGTTAGCCTCACCAGGAGTGATGCAAGGGTGCCTCCTCCTAGCCAGTCCCAGAGCCAGGGCGGAGGAGGCACATTCTGCATGCCCCCGCCACCTTCCCTGGACAGAAAGGGGGGAAGAGCTCCGCCGGCAGGTGGAAACCCCCGTGACCCTGACACCTTCTCTCAACCCTACCTCATCTCAAACTTCAGTGAGCTCAGGTTCATCTGGAGGATGACTCGGCTTCTGTGTGAGTACCGGGCTCCACTCTTGGGAGTTTCCGGTTCAGGAGGTCTGGGGTGAGGCCTGAGAATCTGCATGTTCTCAGATAATGCTGATGCTGCTTGGCAGATGACCACACCTTGAGAAACCACTGCTCTACCACGACTCCTGGCCCCCTCCCACGCACCATGCTCAAGACAAAGACAAACGCTGTCGCTTTTCCCCTTTTCTGCACAGCCCCCTGTTGTCTGGTACCCTCAGAGCCATCTTCATCCTGTCTTTCCTCTTCCTCTCCACAGCTACCCACAATGTTCTTTTTATTTTTTCTTCAGATAAGACCTCTCTCACTCAGACTAGAGTGTAGTGCATGATCATGGCTCACTGCAGCCTCGACCTCCCAGGCTCAAGCCAGCCTCCTGCCTCGGCCTCCCGAGTAGCTGGGACCACAGACACATGCCACCACACTGGGCTAACTTTTCTTTTTTTTTTTTTTTTTTTTAGAAACAGGGTTTCACTGTGTTGCTCAGGATTGTCTGCAGCACACGCTCAAGTAATCTGCCCACCTTGGCCTCCCAAAGTGCTGGGATTACATGCGTGAGCCACCAAGCCCAGCCCCATTAACATTATGAAATGTTCATTTAATCATGGGATTCCGTGTTCTAGATGACAATAGGACACACTGGCTCCATACTCCCATCAGAATGCTTTAGGCCCCTGGGTCCACCTGCCCTCCATCCTGCCCATGCTACCTAACAGTGTTACCTGCTGTGGACATCCTGGCCTCTGTCAACTTGCAATGTCACTCACCTTGGCCCCTCTCCCTGCCCGTCCCTGCCTTTGCAGCTACATGCACTGGAGTCAGGGACGGGACCCTTCCCAGCCAGGAGGGCAATGAACAGAGTAGCACTCACCAATGTAGTCAAAGCGTCCCGGGGCTAGGCGCTCTGGCAGGTGTGCGGAGTACAAGAAAGACGCCAGGAGGGTCATGATTATGTGCTTCTGGTGGTACAAGGTGGCTTCATTCTGTGCACTCTCCCCTGAGAACAGGAATAGCTGCAGGTGTTTGAAGAAACATCAGGTCTTGAGAGGACAGGCCTGAGGCAGGCCCTCTTCTTTCTTAGCACCTGGAGCTGGGACTCTGGGGGCTCTGACACCCACACATGTCAGCACACACACACAAACTCCAGAGGCCAAGGCCCTCGCCGCCTCAGGTCTGTGGCCTGGGAGAGGAAACTCCTGCCCTGAGTGTGGTCAGTTGAGACTCAAGACTATTGTATTTCAATCCCCCAAATGTTCGTAAGAGTTTTGCGTTATTTACTTACTGAAGGGGGAAAAAAAGGAAAGAAGGAAGGAATGGGAAAAAAAAAGAAAGGTAAAAATCCTGTTAGATAATTGCTACTCTTTCTGGGGATAAAAATGTAAGTACAGTCGACCCTTAACATACAGGCTAGGGGCACTGACCCCTTGCAGTCAAAAGTCCATGTACAACTTTTGATTCCTCCAAACTTAGCTAGTAATAGCCTCCTATTGACTGGAAGCCTTGCCTGTAACAAGTTGTCAACTAACACATACTTTGTATGTATTATATACTGTATTCTTACTATAAAGTAAGCTGAAGTGTTACTGAGAAAATTTCAAGGAGCAGGAAGAAGAAAAGGGGTTGGTCTTGCTGTCTCATGAGTGGCAGAGGGGGAGGAAAATCCATGCTAAGTTCAAACCTGTGTTGTTTAAGGGTCAACTATATAGTAAGAAGTGGTCGAATCACACGAGAACTCGCTTTTTATCAGCACATCCACTGAACTGGTGCTCCTAACTAAGGCTTTAAGGCCTAGAAATCCTTGAAAGGCCTTCTGAATCATCCAAAAGTATAAATGATGGCCACTTTACTGTTTCAGAGCTACATGTGTCGTTTTTGTATTACTGTTATAAACAGCCATAGTAGCTAGCACTTACCGAGGGCAGCAGGCCAGGCCTCTTTCATGCATCATTTCATCTGAGCCACAACTACCGTAAGGCAGACTCTTCCTTTCCCCATTTTGTAGATGAGGACAGTGGGCCAGAAAGTGACTTGCACCTCACTTACTGAGAAGCGAAGTCGGCGTCTGAATCCAGGCAGGCTGATGCCAGCATCAACATCACCACTCAGAACTGGACCTCCCCTTCCCTCTGCTCTCCTCTGACTTGGCCACATGCCAGAAGCACATCACGTTTGTCACAACACAGGACCAGCACTGCCTGATTTGGAGGTGCATGGGACAGAACTGCTGTGCCTGCTTTCGGTTTCCCGTGTGTGGTCTGCGCCCTCGAGGAAGGAGTGAGGGGAACGGGTGGCACCCCCATCTTTGGGGCTCCCTCAGATCCACAGAGGCAGAGCACAGAGAATGTGCTCAATGCCCCAGCTTCTGGGTGGAGCTCTGCCCCTCCCCTCGCCCCTCAGCCCTGCCATCTGGGCTTCAATCTTCAAACTCACAGGACACTACCTCTAGGAGGGAGCTTCAGTCACTGGGTACTGGGCAGGCACTGCAGGGCCTATCAGATCCATTGTTTTGATTAATCATCATCACCCGATACAAAGGAGGGGCTGGTACTCTCAGGCACAGATGAGGAAACTAAACTGAGGCTCAGAGAGTTGTGTGCCCTGCCCGAGGTCACACAGCCAGTGAGCAGTGGGACCAGAATTTGAACTCAAACTTACATGGTTTGAAAGTGCATGGACTTTCCCCTTCTTGTCGTGCTTCTTGTCCCTCCTACCCCGTTTTCCTTTGTGCTTTCCATCTCATTTCCATCACTCCTTTAAGACCCTATTCATACCTTTTCCTTCAATACTAACCACATACTATGATGATAGAATCATGCATTCCCAAACTCCTGCTACCCGTCAGCACCCGTGTCACCCTCCCCATGGCCCATGAGGTGTTACCAGACGCAATTTACAGATGAGGGAAATCAAGGTGTAGAGAATTGGCCCAAGGTCTGACAGCAGATACTGGAGATCTGCCTGCAGAGCTCCCCCTCCTGCTTACCTCAAAGCCCCAGGCTGCCTGCTCACCCCCAAAGCCCCAGGCTGCCTGCTCACCCCCAAAGCCCCAGGCTGCCTACTCACCCCCAAAACCCCAGGCTGCCTGCTCACCCCCAAAGCCCCAGGCTGCCTGCTCACCCCCAAAGCCCCAGGCTGCCTGCTCACCCCCAAAGCCCCAGGCTGCCTGCTCACCCCCAAAGCCCCAGGCTGCCTGCTCACCCCCAAAGCCCCAGGCTGCCTGCTCACCCCCAAAGCCCCAGGCTGCCTGCTCTGCCTGGCTCTCTGACGTTCCCAAGCCCCAGTCATATTGTCTGTCAGGGCCTCTGTGTTTATGCCGTCTCCTAACCACTCCTCAAGTGCCACCAAGGCAGCAGCTGGGTCTCAACTCCTGTTTTGTTCTATGGTTCACATTGCAGTGTTTTGACCCCAGAAGCTCAGGAAGCAGCTGACTTCCTGGCATTGCCAACAGGCAGAGAGGATTTGCAGCCAGTCCTTACCCTGTAGAAGATGGGGAGGGAGTCCCAGGTGTAGGGATAAGCAAAGGCGAGGACACGAATCACCTTACAGAGTCTGGGCTTCTGGATTTCAAGAAACCTAAATCAGGGAAGGAAAGTGGGGAGGAAATGGCATGAAAAGCATCTCCGTAAATTACACATGCACATGCATGCACACCGAGTGCCTGGTTATCAACAGAGGACAAGCATTTTTGTACAAGCTCCTGTGGCCAGCAGCTTCTCCACCAGCCTCGTCCATTCCTCCCACCCCAATGAAAGTGACAAAACTTCAGATGCAAAAAGATCTCCAGAGAGACTCCCCCCGACCTCCTGACGGTGGGAAGCAGTGGTGTCTAGACTAAGCCAGAAAGGAGGTGCTGGGCAGAAACCCTTCGAGGGCCAAGTTATGCAACTGCCAAAAGAGCCTTTTAAAACCCTAGTTACTATGGGGACAAAGAACAGGCAGGGGGAAAGTGGAGCCCACTGGCACAGACTCATGGGGAGCACACTGCAAAGGCGGAGATGTACCCATCTAGTTGGAGGCCGGGTATTGTCATGAAGGAGACCTGGGTTCAAGTAGGAATTTGATCCTTGGAGAGCTTTCTGAAATATTTATACCACACACAGGGATACTTGGCTTGGGAAAACTGAATAAACATGAAGTCTTTCCTTCTCTCCTTCATTGCCACCCTTACCCAACCTACAATCTAAAGACAGCTAACAGCAACAATAAAACAAGGGACACTGATTGTTGAGAAGACAGGCAGGTCCCCCTGGACAGCACATGAAAGGGCCTCAGCTGACTTGGGCCCAGCCTGGGGCAGCAGCTCAGGGTATAGGGAGCTGGGCAGCACTGAAGGCAGGCTGCACCCTGGGAGGACATGGGGAGGCAGGCAAGGAGGGTCTCTGCACAAAACCACAGGCCAGAACTAAGGCTTTGGTAAGGAAGTGCTCACGGGTGCTGGTTGGGCAGCCAAGGCCAGGTAGTAGGGACAGGTATAGTCCCCGCATCAATGCTGAGATGTACTGTGGAGGGCTCTGTCCTCCCTCGGGGCCCACAGGACTGCAGGGTAAGGAACCCAGTACACTGGATGCAGAGCCATGCACCGAGGCTCTTGGGGTGGCTGTTTTGATGCAGTCTGCAAAGGCAATGCATGCATTGGGGCCCTTTCAGCCTTTGCTGACAGTTCTGCCCCTCATCACACTCTCTGCAGTGATGGGGTCTGTGTCCTGCTGTGGCTCCCACCTCTGCTTCCAAGAATCTCGGTCCCAGTCCACAAGCCTGTTCTTTCTCCTTCAAATGCCATCTGCGTTCCCTCTGAGCCCAGACCCATGTCCCCTGTCCAGGCTGCCCATGCCTTTTATGAGCCAGTAAAGCCACCTGACCATAAGCCCCACTGCTGCCTTTACCCTCAGCATGGAGTACACAGGGACTCCCACATCTGGCAGCTGTGGAACCCTCCTCAGGCAGGTGCCAGGTCTGGTCAGGCCTGGATCCCCAGGACCCAGCACAGAAGCAGGTCTGAGGATGCGGACATTCTCCAGGCTAGTGTGCTCTGCTCAGTCCTCAGGGCAACTGAACACAAATGGCCACCCAGGGATTCCTGATTCCTGGGAAAGGGATACCTCTGTGTACCTCAAGAAGTCCCACAGCCTCCCAAGACAAGCCTCAACTTCACTCCAGCCCACTTTCCCGTTCCTTCTTTCCTGACCCTGCCAGTAAGTCACACACACACATGGCACATACCAGGTGAGAAGCTCAAGGAGAATGGACTCGGATGCATCATCCCCCCTCCCAAAAAGAACCACAGCCAAACTCCAGGACAGGTGAGGCAGCACAGCACTGTGGAGGGCTTGATCGGGACACACTGGGTTCAAATCCTGACTCTGCCCTTCACAACCATGTGACCTCGGCAGGTCACTAACTTTTGTGTACCTCCAGATCCTCTGGTGTAACAGAGACAATGACTGTGCCTCGTCACAGCCTTGTAAGGATTTGATGAAACAGTGCCCACCAGGTGTTTAAACTGTGCACTGCACAGTCACACAGACTAATGGCAGCTCTAAACTTGCATCATGGGGTGCCATTCTCTCTCCTTCACCACCTTCTATCTATGTTGGTCCAGAAAATAGGAACAGGAGGGAACAAACAAGTTCTGGGTGATCTGCCAGAAATCAGATGAGCCAATGAGAAGCAGAGCTAGGATTTAAGCCCTGGACTTTCTGGCTCCCAGATGTCATCCCCTCTGCCTCCTGCAGTAGGCTGGACAGCCTCAGACCCTGCCCAGCCTTCACCCTTCCCAGCCTGCTCTGCCCAGGAGCAGAGGCACACAGTACCGCCACCTGCCTCACCCGCCTGCCTTCTCAGTCCTCCAGCAGACCCTGACCCGCTGAGGCAGGCCGCCCCCTCCCTCCCTGTGCCCTGCCACCGCCTGTCGTCTCTCTGGGTTGACAGGCTCGCTCTTAAGGGCTCCTGTGGCCACTTACACTCGAAGAACTCTGGCTCTGGCTGGCGAGGACCATCCCCCAAAGTATGGATTTTCTGTGACTTGAGACAACATTTCGCTCGGCCTGATAAAGTGTTTCCCCGGGGACAAACGGACCAGCCTCTCCAGCTGCAAAGCCGAGTCTAGAGGGAAAGAAAAGAAGGAAAAAAAGCAGAACAGAAGAGAGAGCAACAGAGAGAAAAAGGCAGAAGGGCCAGTAGCCTGGGAGAGGGGCCGCCAGCTACCGGGGTGCAGTTCCGCGTCAGGCCACGCGATGTCGCCAGAGCCAGAGCAGAGCCACAGCCATGGAAGCCTCGGAGGCGTTCCACGTGCAGCCAGCCGTCTAGTGGGAAGAGCCCAGCGTGCTCAGGCTTAACTGCAGCCCCACACTAGAGGGTTGAGAGGCTGCTGTAAGGAAATCGGGGCTCTGCCCAGAACGACGCTGGCAGCATACACTGGGTTGCGGGAGAACCCTTCGTTAGGAGAGGGTCCATTCATCACAGCCTGTTCTAAACCCTAACAACAAAGCTGGAAGAATTAGCAACTGAAATTCCGGAACTCGGGCTTGAAACTAGTGGGCATTTGGAAAAATCGTTCTACTGCAGAGATGCACATACGAATGCATGTGGGGCGGTGCTTATGGTTGTTTTGTTTTGTTTTGAGATGGGAGTCTTACTCTGTAGCCCAGGCTGGAGTGCAGTGGTGCAATCTCAGCTCACTGCAACCTCTGCCTCCCGGGTTCAAGTGATGCTCCTGCCTCAGCTTCCTGAGTAGCTGGGACTACAGATGTGCACCACCACACCTGGCTAATTTTTTATTTTTAGTAGAGACGGGGTTTCACCATGTTGGCCAGGCTGGTCTTGAATTCCTAACCTCAGGTGATCCGCCCACTTCAGCCTCCCAAAGTGCTGGGATTTCAGGCGTGAGCCACCGCGCCCAGCCTGTTATGGCTGTTATTGTGTAGGAATTGTCTTATGTTGGAGAACTGCAGGAATGTGAACATTTCCCCATGCTCGCACCTGGCCATAGCAGCACTTTATCCTCTGGCCAAGCCTCTGAGACCTGCTGAGCCTTCTACCTCCAGCGCTGACCCCAAACCCCTTCCAGGTCAGCTCCACCTCTTTGAGCTGCCTCAGCAACTGCCAAGCTGTCCTGCCAGCAGAGCTCGTGGGTGAAAATTAATCTCTCACCCTCACAGCTCTGACCAAGGGGTTTCTCACTCAGCAGCTTTTTGAAAAAAAAAAAAAAAAAAAAAATGGCAATCAATGGTTGGATGCATTGGATGGAGATGGTCAGTGATTCGTGATACACAGCACTCACCGTGTAACTGACATTCCTGAAGGGACTGGCAGCCCTTTCCTATGCAGGTACGAGCAGGCCAGGGCCCCGGCCACCCACACCTTGTTCCTAGAGCCATGAAGAGGGCATGCATTCTCTCATTTCTCCTCTCAAGTGCTACAGAATGAGAAGGCAGTTTTCTGGAACATATTCATTTGAACCAAAGTTCATGATAGTAAGAACCAAAAACCACTCAGGGCATGGCAAAGCTCTCTATGTTAAGACTGGCCTTAATGGTCGGCCTTGTAATGGAACGAATGCCATTTCAATACTGGTTTTGGGGCAAGCATAGGATAACTATCAGGCTGATAATGAGGTTCCTGGTCTCCCCCTGTGCTTCGGGAAGGGGAAGGTGGTTCTCTCCCGCTCCTGCCCAACTGCGGCTGGAAGGAGCAGGAGGGAGAGGCAGGGTGGAGCCTGGGGGAGGAAGGCAACTGGGACAGGAAACCTAGAGAAGACACTAAGGCATTGGCATCGCAGGATGCCCAAACCAGGGAGGACCCAGGGGCCATCGTCTCAGATGCCCTCGTTGACGCAGACCCTGAGGCCCAGAGGGGACAGTGACTGCCCTGGGGCCCCGCAGCAGGTCTGGAGGAGCAGGGCTGAAATCCAGGCCTCCAGATGCCCACACCCTCCTCTCTACCCGCTTCTGCTGAAGTGAGTCAGGGCCAGCGTCACTCCTGCACACGAGTCAGCTTTCTCCCGAGACACCCAAGGCAGAGGCAGGGAATGAACATGGGGAGGACAGGGCCTGTAGGAGCGGCAAAACCACGGGTGAGGGGACGTGGAGCGAGGGTGAGCTACAACGGGCACTGGAGGGGCCACAGCTGGAATGCCCCCTCTCCCTTTGGCTGCAAGAGTGTGGCATGTGCCCACTTCCTTTTGATTCCAACATAGCCCCCCACCTCCCTCTCCCCTCAGCTCCCACTTCAGTTGCTATTAACACACTGGAAACCCCTCAGGGCATGGAAGCCAAGTGCATAGGATTTTTATTTTTTCCCTAGGAGATTCTCATCCTTCATGAGCAAAGGGCCGGTCCTCAAAGGACTCCCAGGCCCCCCGCCCACCCTCCAAGCCCGTCTCTAGCTGCTCTCCTCCATCCACCTTGCAGACTCTGGCAGCTCTGATGCACCTTGCTGCTTCCCGACGCTGGCCCACCCTCTCTGCAGTCCTCACCCTTGTCCAGGCTGGTCACTCTGTCCTCCTCTCCAGTAAAAGTGTCCAGCCTCCTTCAATATCCAGTCGTAATGCCACTTCTCAGAACTCTGTGTATCCCAGCAGCTGGCATTTTGCCTTATCATTATTTGTTTACATTACACTCCTTGCTACACTCTAAAGTATGATGGCCTCATGCTGGGCCTTTGGGGGCATCTGCAGCCTGTCTTTCCTATGGCACTGGGTGCTCTCTGAAGGCAAGGGCATCCTCCTGGCACCCCCAGCTCCTAACATAGTACCTGGAGTATGGCAGGCATTTAAGGAATGTTGGATGGGTGTGTAGATGGGTGGATGGATGGAATAGCCACAGATGTGTTCCATAAATAAATAATCCATTTCATTGGCAAAGGGAGAAGCCCCCAAACTCAAGCACCCAGGAGATGCCTGGCAAAGCTGGCCTGCCAGACAAGTTCCTCCAAAGACACCAGGCATGCCACATCCAAAAGACCTCATCTGTTATATCTGAACCATCAGAGAAGATGCCTGGCTAGAAGAAAACAAGCTAGGATGGGCACAGTGGTTCACACCAGTAATCCTAGCACTTTGGGAGGCTGAGGTGGGTGGATCACCTGAGTTCAGGAGTTCGAGACTAGCCTGGCCAACATGTCGAAACTCTGTCTCTATTAAAAATACAATTTTTTTTCTTCTCTGTCGCCCAGGCTGGAGTGCAGTGTCACAGTCTCGGCCCACTGCAACCTCTGCCTCCCGGGTTCAAGAGATTCTCTTGCCTCAGCCTCTCGAGTCCTCCTCTCCAGTTAGTGTTCAACCTCCTTCCAAGCTGGGATCACAGTCACCCGCCACCACACCCAGCTAACTTTCATATTTTTAGTAGAGATGGGGTTTCACCATGTTGACCAGGCTGGTCTCGAACTCCTGACCTCAGGTAATCCACCCGCCTGGGGTTCCCAAAGTGCTGGGATTACAGGCGTGAGCCATGGCACCTGGCCTCACTCGAGACTTTTCTTTACACTTGTGAAGCCTTCTCTTCCTCTTCTGCTCCCTCAACCTATGGTGCTGTCCCCGTCTAATCCTAACAACTTTCAAACACCAGAGCCACACAGCCCTGGGAGAGTCAGGCAGACAGGGGCAGTGACTGGTCCAAGGACCAGGTTCAAGAGTGTCCAGGTTCCTGGACCGTGGCCCGTCCATAAGCCCATGCACCCGGGCACTGTGCCTTCGGGGCTGGCTTCATCTCTGTTGGGCTTCTTTCTGCAGCGTTATTTTGTGTGTGTGTGTTATGCCTCCTGTCATCCACGGCAGGGACTCCTAGAAAGGAGACTCACTCCCGTGGAAGGTAACGCCCCGCTTCCAACCCGTTCCAGCGCAGGTAAATAGAAGGTAAGTTGGAGCAAGTATTCCCCATGCTGCTTCAGAATCTATCCTTCCATTTAAAAATACAAAACAAAAACAAAAACAAAAAAAACTGGTTTGTCCAGTTTGCGAAAACTGCCTGCTCTCCCTCGGCCCCATACATCCCAAGTGTCACCCCGAAGAAGTTGGAGGCAAAATCATTCTGGAGAAGTTACCAGATGGGGCACATCTCACCTCCCTGTTTTTTCCTGGGGAGAGGGGGGTAAGTGGAGGCAGGGAGACTCCACTGGCTCGCTGGAGTTGCCGCTGCGGGGGACAAGGAACTCAGATGTGCCTGCCATCCTACCTTACCTGACCAGCACCAAAGCCCTCCAGCCCAGAAGTACCAGCCTTGGCACTATTCAGCCACGGCTGCCACCCCAGCACAACCATGCAGGAGATTTCCTTTACGGAAAAGGAACTTCCGTGCAGTTTGCTTTTACAGAGAGCTGAATAAATGGGTGTAGTTATCCTCATAACCACATTCCCTGCAGTCATGCCCCAGTGAGTTTTCTTGAAAGAAAGAAAGAAAAAAAAAAAAAAAAAAACAGTGGATATTGGAGCTGGGCCTGACTCACATCGATGAGGGACGCATAGGGCATTTGAAAAATACTCATCACCTACCACATATGCCCAGAGGCAGGCACACCCAGTCACCATTAGCAACCACACATTAATGGGGCATCTCCTCTGTGCCAGGTTTGTGCTAAGAGTCCTGGGTACCTTACCTATAATCCTTCCATTTGTCTTAGGGTTGTTTGCCTTATTTTATAAATGAGCAAACTGAAGTTCAAGGATAAGCAACTTGTCCAGCAATAGAACCAGCTACATAATTTGTAGAGCCTGGTACCAAATCAAAGAGCAGGGACCCCCTTGTTCAAAAATCATTACAAATTGTTAAGAATGCAGCAGACGAGCCCAGGAAACTGAGGTTGCAGTGAGCTGAGATCGCACCAGCCTGGGCCACAGAGTGAGACCCTGTATCAACAAGAACAACGAAACCGGCCAGGTGCGGTGGCTGACGCCTGTGATCCCAGCACTTTGGGAGGCAAAGGCGGGTGGATCACCTGAGGTCAGGAGTTCAAGACCAGCCTGGCCAACATGTTGAGACCCTGTCTCTACAAAAAATACAAAAATTAGCCAGGCGTGTGGCAGGTGCCTGTAATCCCAGCTAGATGGGAGGCTGAGGCAGGAGAATTGCTTGAACTCAGGAGCTGGGGGTTGCAGTGAGCCAAGATCATGCCATTGCATTCCAGCCTGGGTGACAGAGTGAGACTCCGTCTCTAAAAAAACAACAACAAAAAAAGGCAGCAGAGTATTAAACCAAGTATGAGACTCTCTGAGCATGGAGGGCTGGCGCTTACATGCCCAGGAAGCTGATTTTGCCACAATGGGAGGCACCCTTTCCACGAGCCCACCTCTTTCCGGTTCCCTCAGAGTTCCAGGAGCTGCATGCAAGGCCCTCCCTCCCCTCCCATCTGAGGTCAGAGCCACCCAGTACCTGGAGTAGCAGGAGAGGCCTGTGCTGAGGGTGGTGTTCAGCACAGCCAGAGCCACGTAGTAGTCATGGAAGGTGGTGCATACCAGCGCGTCCGGGAACGTGTACGCAGAGTAGGCAATGGCCGAGCCTGTGGAAGGAAAGCCAAGCTTGGGAGAGGGGCCAGGCCTTGGCACCGCGTGGGCCCCTTGCAAAGACCGTCCCCAGCATCTGGCTTGGCCCTCGTCATTCCCACAGCCCTGATTCTGTGCCCTCGCTTGTGCCATTCTGCCTGCCAGGATGTCCTCCTCACCCTTCTCTGCTTCACCCAAATCCCATCCTGAGAATGTACTGTGAGCCCAGCTTTGCTCTAAGGGCTTTACCTATAAGACCTCACGTAAGACTTTAACCACCCTCCTTCATAACTCCGCACTTATCCTCATAGTACAGATAGGAAGCTGAGGGACAGAGAGGTGTAATCACTCGCCCAGGGTCCTGCAGCTAGGGAGTTTGCAGAGACGGGCTTGAAACGCAGGCAGTTTAGTGATGGTCCCCCGCCCTTAGCCACATGCTGTGGTTCACGATGACAGACCCAGCGGGCTGAGCTCTACTCAGAGTGTGCACTTCTCACCTGCTCAGGGACACAGGTGCTGCTGGTAGAAAGATCGGTGCTGGAGGGAGGGCCCTTGCTGAGATGACGATGTCATATCACAGCCAGGGGGCAGGCCAGCTGAGAGGCTGAGTGTTGTGCTGTGTAACGGTTTTGGTGTTTGTGAGAGAAGGGTTGCCTAAGGACCTTCTAGAGACCCGTTTGCTGAATGAAGCATGTATTTGGAAGAGCAGAGGCGATCACTGTTCTTTTCAGAGGGGCCATGCAGCAATTACTCCAGAAATGCCCACAGTTATCAAAACAAGCCTGGGGCGGGTGACCGAGGGCCAAAAAGCCGCCCCTCGAAGGAGCCTGGAATGCTTCCAATGAGAAGTCGCCCTGTCGGTGGAGGGTGAGGTGGTAGAAAGTGTCGTTGAAGCCTTCAGGGACCAGGTGAGGTGGAGGGGGCTGTGATAACCGGGCAGGTGAGAGGCCTGAGTCAAGACAAGGGTGCAGTGCTGCTTACAGCAGGTAGGAGAGAAGTCACCTGGCCTTGATAACCAATTGGCCAGAGGGTGGATGGGGGCAGGGAGTGAGAGGAAGGGGACCCCGAGGATTAGTCAGACTTCTGACTCGGGAGAATGAGTAGGGGCGCAGCCATCAGTCAGGTTGGACATGCAGAGGGGTAGCAGGTGTGGGGGCAGGGGCGGGAGGAGTTACGGTTCTGGTCTCCCGGCTCCAGGTGGTATGGACCTCAGGTAGGAGGTTTACACGGGAGATGGGGTTTCTCCAGAGGTGGGGAGAGATGTGTTAGGCACAGAGATCCCCAGGGGGCTGGATTGCATGAGAGGAGAGGTCAGAGAACCGCTTCTGAGCCTCTCCACCCATGTATGCCGGAAAGCAGAGGAGGGGAGCCAGCCCAGCGGAGGGTGGGAGGACCCCCCGGAGGGAGGGAGGGACGTGGCAGGAGACAGAGAAAGAGGGGCAATCACAGCAATCCCGGCGGTCAGGAGGCCGGGACCCTGGACAGGGCACACACCTTCCCTGCTCTCTTCTGCAAACCCATCAAAGCCTGAGGGTGACCCTGGCTCATGGGCGAAGGGGCAAGGTCTGGTGAATGCTGGGGACTGGACAGCAGAGCACTGAGGAGTTGGCAATGAAGTGGGAAAGTGTGTGTGCATGTGTGTGAGAGTGTATGTGAGTGAGCCTGTGTGTCTGTGAGTGTATGTGTGTAAGTATGTATGTGGTGTGTGTGATGTGTGTGTGGTGTGTGATGTGTGTATGTGCGCATGTGAGTGTATTGTCTGTGGTGTGAGTGTATGTATTATATGTGTCAGTGTGTGGTGTGTGTGCATGTGAGTGGTGTGTATGTGGTGTATGTGTATGTGAGTGTATTGTATGTGGTGTGTGTATGTGTGTGTCAGTGTGTGAGTACATGTGGTGTGTGATGTGTGTGAAGTGTCTGAGTGTGTGTGCGCATGTGAGTGTATTGTGTGTGTGGTGTGTGTGTGTATATGTATGTGTAGTGCACTGTATGTATGTGTCACTGCATGTGTGTTTGTGTGAGTGTGAGTATGTGTATATGAAGAAAGAGGATGGAGGTAGGCTTCTCATGGACAACGTCTTGGGCAAGGAAGACAATAATTGGTTTTCTCACCTAGAGTGGGATCTGGAGGAAGAATCTAGAACTCGCATCCTTGGGAATGGATGCATGCCCACAAAGGGAGGAGAGAAGAGGTGGCCAGAGGAGGGAGCATCATAGTTAAAGAAAAAGTCAGTATAATCAGGAGAAGGGAAAAAAAAAAAGAGAGAGAGAGAGAGGTAAGGAAGTTGAGGCTGTCAGCACACAGTTTCTCTGGCTTAGGCCGCTGCTCTATTCCCACGCACTCTGAGCACCTCTCTGATTGCTCTAAGCCTCTGGACATGCGAGGCTCATGACCTCACCCTCCTCCTCTGCCTCGCATGACAGATACCAGCATTGATGTACTGGAGTCAGCTCATTCTGAACTGAGAGAGCTGGGAGCAAAACACAGCCATCATTAAAAATTAAATTACATGAACTTGCATTAAATAAATCAAATTAACAAAAGTACTGAGCACTCAATGACTACATCTACTGTATCTGCACGGTGGAATTTCTGTAATGGTGTGCTGCACGTGTCTCTTCCCACCCCTGTGTTCTGTGACGTCGCGTTGGTAGGTTGAAGCTGGCCATGGTGGGAAGATTTATACCACAGAAATTGGCAAACACGGCAGATCGGGGCTGTTATCCCCAAGGAGCCAGTGGCTAAATATTTAGCAGCATAGTTTCTTATAAAACACCCATCGGGAACCTGGACAGGAGAACTGGCATTCCCTGGGCTCTTCTGCAAACTCATCGAATCCTTCTGGTGACTCTAGCTCACAGAAGGGACAAACACCTCGGTTGCAGGGGAGAGAAAGCAAGAGCAGGGCCTCACCTACCCAGGCCGAAGAGGTTGACGGCACCATAGTCCAGGAAGTAGCATATGTGCCGGGCATTCTTGGACATAGAGCTGAAGGTGTGTGCACAGCTGGACACAAGTGGATACACGCAGCTGGTGCACATGTACACAAGCATGGGCCAGGAGTAGCTGTCATTCTTGACGTCTGTCACGTACAGTGCAGTCACAAACCTCCACGCAAAGAACCTGGAACACAGAGGGCCCACTCATCCTCTGTGATGGGAGTTCCTTTTAGTTCCTCACCTATCTTCTGTCTCCATTCCCCCTCCCCACCATGACCAATTTCCTTGTCTTCTCACTTTGGGGAAATACCACGTGCCAGGGAGGTAGCGGAGAGGTCCTTATTTAATTGGGAGGCTGGACGTTGGGAATGGGCAGGTGAAGTAAGAAGAGAGCCCTTATGTATATCTAGTCCAATCCCCTAATGAGTCTCCAGCCTCAGCTTGCATGCTTCCAGGGATGGGGGGCTCATTACCTCCCAAGGCAGCTCTGAGGGCTGGAAAGTTCTCCTTCACTGGCTCAAATCTGTTCCCCTGGAACCCATCTCCATTTGATTGGCCTTAGTTCTCTCCACCAGGATTATAGAAAACAAGCCTATCAAATATTTTAAGGTAGTCTTTCTAACTCCCTCCCACCTCCTTGAATTTCACATTAAATAAATCCAGTTCCTTTAGCCACTCCTCACAGGATGTAAATTTGGCATTACCACCATCCCTGTGGTTTGTCTTTGCTCGATGTAGTTTGTCTATGTCCCCCTTGTAGAAAGGCTCCTCAAGTAGAAGCAATGCCCCAGGTGGGGCCTTAGAGAGCGATTTTCTCCCTCCTCCTCCATGCTGTTCCTCCATTAAGAGTACAGTCGGCCCGGCGCGGTGGCTCAAGCCTGTAATCCCAGCACTTTGGGAGGCCGAGACGGGTGGATCACGAGGTCAAGAGATCGAGACCATCCTGGTCAACATGGTGAAACCCCGTCTCTACTAAAAATACAAAAAATTAGCTGGGCATGGTGGCACGTGCCTGTAATCCCAGCTACTCAGGAGGCTGAGGCAGGAGAATTGCCTGAGCCCAGGAGGCGGAGGTTGCGGTGAGCCGAGATTGCGCCATTGCACTCCAGCCTGGGCAACAAGAGCGAAACTCGGTCTCAAAAAAAAAAAGAGTACAGTCACTTTTCTGAGTAGCTAGTCCCATAGCTGTCACTTTTCTGAGTAGCTAGGCCCATAGCTGATGCTCAACAGAGCCTAGATCTCCATGCGGAGACACTTCACAATTCTTCATCGGATCTGCCTGACCTAAAATCCACGCGTGAGGTCCCGCAGGCAGAGCACCCCACTTCCACAAACCACTCCTAAATTGTTGGCTCCCTTTCCCACTAACTCCTCCAAGGGAGGAGACTCTACAGAGCTTTTTCATATACAGAAACTGAAGGAGTATTGCTAAATCCTTCCAGCTACGCTTGTGGTCTTTTTATTTTTGTCCTAGCAGAAGTAAAGCTTAAGCTATTTGCTGTTTCTCAAAACGTAGCCTTTAGTCATTTCAGTTTTTCAGTGGTTCCATTTCCTTAGGGCTTCTTGATCCAAACCTTCCCAAGTCCTTCCTGCTACTCTCTGTTGCTCAGTCAGGATCATCTCTGAGAGCCTGGTGCAGAGATGTGCCAGGCAGTGCTGGGGGTAAGGGGAACGTGGCTCGGCCAGCTTGGCTCAGCTGTAAAACAGCAAAAAAATCACCTTACAGGAATCCATGTATGAAAAGCAAGACCCACAAGCAGGGATGGACAGGCTGGCACTCTTTGAAGCAGCTCACATCTCAAAACAGCCTAAATCAACCGTGATTCATCCAGAAAATGGAATGGAACATCCAGGCAGATGTTCCAAAATCCAGGAGACGTGTAGATTGCAGCTGCTGACAGAGTGAGATCTCCAAGGGAGGGAAATAAGGGGAGAGCAGCAGGGAAAGAGGTAGATGCTGGGGACACTCAGAGCACAGATCCTCCTGGTTCCCCGGAAAAGCTCCAGGAGGTCACACAGGAGGCAGGTCCCCCGGCCACTCCAGGGAGGAGAACCAGGGGCCAGTGGCAGAGCCTGACTCTATTCCCTTCTGCAGGATTCTAATTTATAAGCATGTGTACTTTAAAAAATGACAAACGGCCGCTGGAGCAGGGCTGTGCTGCACCCCCTGCCCAGTCTGCAAGCCCAGGGCTGCCATGCTCCTTTATAGATCACTTTGGGGGAATACCACGTGCTGGGGATGTGGGGGGTTCTTTTTTAATTAGGCAGTATGCTGGGAATGGGCAAGTGAAGTAAGAAGAGAGCCCTTATATATATCTAGTCCAATCCTTTAGTGATTCTTCAGCCTTTATGTATGTCTAGTCCAAATCCCCTAGTGATTCTCAGCTTGCATGTTTCCAGGGATGGGGGCTCATTACCTCCCAAGGCAGCTCTAAGGGCTGGAAAGTTCTCCTTCACTGGCTTAAACCTGTCCCCCTGGAATCTATCTCCATTTGATTGTCCTTAGTTCTCTCCACCAACCAGGATCACAGAAAACAAGCCTATCTTTTTTCTTTTTTTTTTTTTTTTTTTTTTTTTTTTTGAGGCAGAGTCTTACTCTGTTGCCCAGGCTGGAATGCAGTGGCTCAATCTCAGCTGGTCACAAACTCCGCTTCCCAGGTTCAAGCGATTCTCCTGCCTCAGCCTCCAGAGTAGCTGGGACTACAGACATGTGCCACCATGCCTTGCTAATTTTTGTATTTTTAATAGAGACGGGGTTTCACTATGTTGGTCAGGCTGATCTCGAACTCCTGATTTTGTGATCCGCCCACCTCAGGCTCCCAAAGAGCTGGGATTACAGGTGTGAGCCACCGCACCTGGCCAGCCTATCAAATATTTTAAGGCAGTCTTTCTAACCCCCTCCCACCTCCTTGAACTTCACACCAGACTGAGCTTTCTCCCCTCTCCACTGGGCTGGCTGCTGGAACCAAACAGCCTGCCCCTACATTCTGGCCCTGGGTCTGTCTTCTGACTTCTACTCAGGCTGACTGTCCCTGTCGGGGAGGCATGGGCCCATCTCCACTCGCGGCACACTCCAAATCTCTTCTCGACATGACTGGAGGGAGTCCGGAGACCAGCCTGTGCCACAGCTCCCCTGCATGACATAAGGAAGCCACCCCTTCTCTCTGCTGTGTCTGTATCAACCAATGGTGGTCCGAGTGGGACAGTGGCTTGAATGGCCTCCTAGTTCTTCCACTTCGGATCCACTGTGATTTGGTGCTTTGACCCTGTCTCCATCCTCCACGCATTAAGCAAAGGGTGCAATGTGTGACACTGGCTTTCAGCCCCCACCTTTGCCAGCAAGGCTCCCCTTCGCTTCCCTGGCAACTCCCATTTCTATGTACAGGCTTCCCAGAGCTTTGCTCTTAGCTGGCTCCATCTACAGGCTGCCTGACCAAGTTTCTCCTGATTGCCGTGGTTCCCAGAAGGGCTAGGAACCTGCACCAGCTCTGTGCCAGGTGCCCCTACCAATGTTTTCTTCCCAAACCCTCATGGCAACACCTGGGGAGGTGTGGACCATCACAACTGAAATGTGAAGCTTAGAGAGGTTGACTTGCTCAAACTAGTGACATTTTAACCAGGGCTCCCGGAAGACTGGGAAAGTTTCCAGGACTGAAGGAGGTGAAGGTAAATGCTATTAAATCCGGCACCAGAGCAGGGAAGGACTGAGGTGCTTTCGAGATTTCCCCTCAAATCCTACCACAATCCATTCCTTAAATTAGGTCATCGCAGTGACACACCCAATGTTTCTTCCCTCTGTCACACACTCCCTTCACCCTCGTGTACCGTGGGGGCATCCCCAAATCCCAGCACCGAATCTCAGCCCTCACAACACTAGCTGTGTTTTAAGACGCCCTGGTCGGCCAGGCACGGTGGCTCACACCTGTAATCCCGGCACTTTTGGAGGCAGAGGCAGGTGGATCACCTGAGATCGGGAGTTTGAGACCAGCCGGACACAGAGAAACCCCGTCTCTACTAAAAATGCAAAATTAGCTGGTATGGTGGCGCATGCCTGTAATCCCAACTACTCAGGAGGCTGAGGCAGGAAAATCATTTGCGGTGAGCTGAGATCGCGCCACTGTACTCCAGCCTGGGCAACAAGAGCAAACTCCATTAAAAGAAAAAAACACACACACAAAAAAAACCTCCCTGGTCTCCAGGACTCTTGGAGGAGAGAGGCCGGTCGAAGGGGTAGGAAGGTACCAGAAAGGCAGCAAGTGAGTCCAAATGTTGAGAGTCTCATTGGTCATTTGGAAGAGACTGAGGATGCAGGCCGTGGCAGAACTCTGTGGATGGCGGTAGCCAAACAGGATGCCTTGTTCATGGAACACCTGCGGAGGCAAGGAAAAGAACACTGAGATCAGACCAGAGGGGGCACGAAGGTCTCCGGAGAAACATCTTCTTACAGGCTGTGCACCGCGTGCCTGCAACGCTTGATCACAAGCCCTTGACCCGCTAAGCTGTTCCCCTCACTCTCTCCTTCCCTTACAGTGGCTTCTAAAAATCCCAAGCCCTCCAAGAAGCCTCCAGCCAGCTGGAGGAGAGAATTCAAGGGCCAGGCTCCCTTTGGGAATCCAGCCTGCCTTTGCATCCCCTGCCAAACTTACCCTTGGCATGAATCTTGCCTAATAATCCGTTTTTGCACCCTCTGCCTGGGGCCTAGAGCCCGGTTTCTGGACGCCTTTTTGGTGAGCTGACATAGATGCTGTCTGTCTGAGCTGGCAACCCTGCAGGTCGGGGCTGGGGGGAAGAACTCTGCAGAAGATGCCCCCGGTGCCAGCGTATATTCAGCAAGGTGCTTCATAAAGGGCTTTTGATGATGAGGACCATGATGCTGATGCCTGGGCTGCAGGAAGAGGAGGCGGCTGCCCACAGCAGGGCCGCTCAAGCCGCCCCACCCCCATGCAGCCCACTTGGTGAGTCCCCCCTGAAAAACACCCCCACTGAGAAATCTGGACTGCTCAGGTGAAACACGGGCTATCGACCCGCCTGGAGTATTGTATTCCATCCACTAACAGTGGTAAGTGAGAAGACAATGAGGCCAGAGGGACAGCAGCCCAGGATACAATCATAAGTGAAGAAAAGTGGAATTTAAACTGTATTCCTGCCACGATGACAAGAGCTTAGGAATTTTAAGTTTACACCATGGTGCAGAGGTTGGGAGAAACATAGAAAAGTGAAGGGTTTAATTCGTTGAGGTAGCAAGATTACAGGAGACATTTTGTCCCGTTGGGTGTTGATTCAGACCAAGGGTTCTCAAGTCTGACACTATTGACACTTTGGGCCAGGTAATTGTTCGTTGTGGGGTCAACCTGGGCATCCTTTCCCAGCATCCATGGCCTCTATCTGCTAGACACCACTGGCTCACACTGTCGGCAGCTTACCCACCCAAGTTGTGACAACCAGAAACATCTCCAGATATTGCCAGATGTCCCCTGGGGACGAAAGTCATCTCCAGGTAAGGACCACTGATTTAGATAAATGACGCCATAACCTTTGAAAGGTAAATTATAAGGCCAGGCGCAGTGGCTCACACCTGCAATCCCAGCACTTTGGGAGGCCAAGGCAGGCCTATCATGGGGTTAGGGGTTCAAGACCAGCCTGAAAAACGTGGTGAAACCCTGTCTCTACTAAAAATACAAAATTAGCCCGGTGTGGTGGCATGAGCCTGTAATCTCAGCTACTCAGGAGGCTGAGATAGGAGAATTGCTTGAACCCAAGAGGCGGAGGTTGCAGTGAGCCAAGATGGCACCATTACACTCCAGCCTGAGCAAAAAAGAGCAAAACTCTGTTAAAAAAAAGAAAGAAAGGTAAATTATAAATGAGTAGGATAATTGAAGCAAATACTAATAATGATAATATTAGTAATCACAGCATAAATCAAGTCACAATAAATCGTAAAGTCTCTTCTTTGAATTTCTAAGGCTGTGAGAGGAAGTTAGAGGAACTTCAATCTAGCCACCCATCTCTCATTTGGGGGTGCCAATTTTTTAGTTTAAGAGAGGTTTGCTGTTTAAAAAAATGAAATATATAATACCAGAGTTTGTGCTATCTCTCTCTCTCTCTTTTTTTTTTTTTTTTTTGAAACAGGATCTTGATCTGAAGCCCAGGCTGGAGTGCAGCAGTGCAATCATGGCTTACTCAAACTCCTGGGCTCAAATGATCCTCCCACCTTAGTCACCTGAGTAGCTGAAACTACAGGAGTGCCACCATAGTCAGCTATTTTTTTTTTTTTTTGAGACAGAATCTCTCTCTTTCGCCCAGGCTGGAGTGCAGTGGCGTGATCTCTGCTCACTGAAACCTCTGCCTTCCAGGTACAAGCGATTCTTCTGCCTCAGCCTCTCGAGTAGCTGGGATTACAGGTACACACCACCACACCCCGGCTAATTTTTTGTGTTACTAGTAGAGACAGGGTTTTACCCAGTTGCCCAGACTGGTCTCTAACTCCTGACCTAACGTGATCTTCAAAGGGCTGGGATTACAGGCGTGAGCCGAGCCAGGCCTAATCTTTAAAATTTTTTTTAGAGACAGGGTCTCGCTATGTTGCCCAGACTCATCTTGAACTCCTGGGCTCAAGTGATTCTCCCATCTTGGCCTCCTAAAGTGCTGGGATTAAAGGTGTGAGCCACTGTGCCCAGCCTTGTGCTATTTTGGGGGGTTCCAAGTCAAGCAGTCACATGGAGCAATGCAGAAGGTGAGGGGCTGCCAGAGTAATGAATCAAATCTGGACCCCTGGGGTGCCACGTGGCCTTGAGAAGAGTGAAGCATTTAAGTGAAGCCAAGGCCCTGGGCCACACCTCTCAGGGCCTCCGTGTAAAATGAGAGGGCTTGGCTAGCTGAATGATCGGGACATTCCCTTCCAGCAGTAGCTCCAAGTTTTAGAGAGCCCTTAGTTCAGTTCTGGGTTAAACTGGTCATCTAGGACGAGGGCACATAATGAAGTTGGTTCATGGTCCAATGAAGAAATACTGTGAATTAGGTTTGGGTCTTAGGTAATTAAAGCGATTTGTTCCAGTTTTTGGTTCACCATTCAATTCTGCTGATGTCCCCGGTTTATGGTGGACGGATTCCTATAATGGGCAGCAGGAATCTTGACTTGCAGATTTCCACCCCACCAAGGCTGATGACAAGGAGCAAACAGGCCAGTGGCCTTCAGCCTTTGATCTTTGTAGATGAGGATGGCGCGTGTTTGGCGGGATTCGGAAGGCCCTCTAGCAGAAATAACAGCTCCCACACTGGGTCCATCCTTCTACCTTTCAAGCTTCTTTCTCTGTTCCTTTTAAGTTGTTGTTTCATAATTATTAATTAAAGCACTGGCCACTGCTTACAACGTAGACTCCATCAATCATTATTCACTCTTTCATATGAATTAGGCTAGCAGATCCTATAAATCAAGAGACTTTTGTGACAAGGGGCCAGTGAGAGCAGAAACATTTCAGAGCACTGGGCATGTGGGGCAGTCGCCTGCAGGGAGGAGGCCAGGCAGGGCTGCAGGAGAGCACAGACCCCGTGACAGCCACAGCGGCAGTGGCGGAGTACCAGCTGGAGGAAAAGACCACTGAGGTTGTGACTATTTCCCTTGTCTCTGCGGGTCCCGGCATTCTGGCAGGCAAAACTGGGGGGGATGGATGTTGTCAAAAGCTGGTGAGGAACACAAGGGAAATCCATACACTGGACAACTTGACTTCATTTAGGAATCTGGCCCCAGACTTAGGGAGAATATTTTGCCACCAAAGCCAGGGCTGGGTCCAGATTAAAAGAACCTGCCTCCATCTGACCTGCTCTGCTGACCCCAGACAGAAATGGGAAAGCCAGTATTGGCCGTGCAAGAGGGGCAGGATTTAAAGCGGCCTTTCCAAAAAAAAAAAAAAAAAAAAAAAGGCAAATGGATAAAGAATAATAAAAGGAGTCCCTCTGTCCCAAGACAGTGATGTTGCAGCTTAAAATAAGAAGACTGGCGTGTCCCTGCCCTCCCCAGCCTGAACCTCTGTCTACTGAACCCCATTACTAGTTCTTAGTTGCACTCTGGCTCTGAGCTCCTGTGAGCACAGGAAAGGATGAACATTCTCTCCGTCTTCCCACTCTAGCCTTAGCAAAGTGCTTTGCAAAGAGCAGGACTTCATAGAACGCATGGTACATCGAAACGATAAACTAAATATTTGAAAACAATTTTGTATTCCAAACCCAGTTTGACCCCAAAGGAAAACTGCAATCATTTCCTCAACAATTTGTAGCTTGGCCTCATTTCTAAGCAGGTTCCTGCTTATTTGCACAGCAGAACTGATCTGTAGGACCCCACCTTGCATCCCTAGTTGCAGGCTGGGCAATTCAGACTGAAATGAAATCAAATCATATGCAGCCTGTTATTTAGAAGTGAGAACCTCCAGGAACTCGGACTGTAAGGGCACATCAGCAAGCTTTCCCTTTCAGTTCCTGCCTCAGGCTCAGCATCCCGGAAAGCCTGCTTGCATGACCAAGACTTGCATGCACCTGCTAACCGATGCCTGTAATTTCACCGTGACAGTTTCAAGCCTTCGGTTTTTCTAGCTATTAAACGGCAAACCATCTGGGGAAAATAACTGGGCATTTTTGGCCAGCTGTAAATAAGAGCAGATTTTGATAGCAGGGAAGGAGAAGAGGCAGAGTGGGACCAGGGGGCCTCAGGCATTATTAGCCTGAATTCTGCATTTCCTGCTCACTGAATCCTCACCGCCAGCTTGTGAGGAAGAACCTTTCACTGTCCCCATTTCACAGAAATGGAAACTGAGGCCAGGAGAGGTTAGGGCAGTTATTCAAGTTCTTAAAAGTAACAGAAGCAAAGCTGAAACCTAAATTCAGACAACAGATTCCATCCCCTGTCCTCTGTGCACTGCCCCTGGGGAGGGCTCTGTCAGGAGATAAAAACCCTTATCCCCTGGCCTGGACTGTGATTTTGGACTGTGACATACTTCTCTGAGCCTTAGCTTCTTCTTTGTTACAGTGCCGTTATGAACTAAATCTGGGAGGGAACTGTGTCCTCCGCAAAATTCATCTGTTCAGTTAAAGTCCTAACCCCCAGTACCTCAGATGCAACTGCATTCAGAGACAAAGTCTTTCAAGAGGCCATCAGGGTGGGCCCTAATCCAGTCTGCCTGGTGTCCCTGACAAGAAGGGGAAATTTTCAATTCACAGAGAGACACCAGGGATAAGCACCCACAGAGTGGTGACCCCGTGCAGGGGCAGCAAGAGTGGGCCATCTGTGAGCCAAGGAGAGAGGCTTCGGAGGAAACCACCCATCCACACCTTGATCTGGAACACCTTTCAGTCTCCAGAACTGCAAGAAAATAACTTT